CATATCTCAAACACTTTCGTAAATAAAGGATAAGTACTTGGATATCTTCAGTCTTGGAGGACCATCTGAGGTATTCTCCTAACAAAAACACACAACAAACCAAATTTTTTAGAAGAACTACGGTGCTCCGATTCTTTCGAGATATGTAGGCACAAGGTAGTAAAACCGAGGCGAGCGCAATAATAAAAAAATTTTCTTTTTCCCTTAAGTATGCATTCATGCATTCCCTTAGCAAGCAAGCATTAAATATAACACACCCTTTAATTAGAACAACAATAGTGGGTCCCGTGGAGTACCACAAACGTGAGGGATGCTAATACCTTCCTCTTGGATAATTGACTTCCGTACCCTTTACCTTGGTCGCAAAACCATCTTATCCTTCTTTTTGAGGTTTTTTCGATATTTTCTCTTCCTTCAGGATAAATAAAATTCGGTAGCGACTCTGTGTTTTTCGTGGTGCAATAACAAGCGACTGAGATATTTTAATAGGTTGATCCCTAAAACCAAAATGAATATTTTTAACAAGCTAAGCTCATGAACCAAGAACGGGATATTAACCAGCTGATCTTGAAAACCAAACATAGGTTTTACTAGGATACCAAACAAAAAACACTTCAAGATAATCACACTCTTGATGAAATATATAAACACCAGTATAACTAAAACCTCAAAAATGTTTTCACTCATGTACCAGTATAGTTTTATTGTGTCTTAAGAGGGGATAGTCTATGGAAAGCCAAAAACTGGCGAGGGACAAGCTACATATAGAAGCCTTAGCTTGCCCTGTACTAGTCAAACCCATTCGCCCAAACATGGTAGCAGGTCGCCCAATTGGGCTCGGGCCAATCAACATAACCTCACAAACTCAATAAACATGGGTGATGGCATGGGCACGTAGTGACTAACTGAAGAGATTAAATCAATGGATGAAATTGTTTCCTCCGTTATTCTAGGAAGAACTAGTCTCCCCTTGATCATTTCCTTGGTAGTAGAGCTAGGGAAAAACTGTTCCACTGACTTTGCAACTCAGGCTCAAGAGAGCCTTTATAAACACTTAAGTCTTAGGACTGAGGAAAGACATCCAATTCACTTTGAAAACCACATAGATAGAGAGTTTCTTACCATCCATGCGTGACTTTCTTTAACACCATAATAACCTTAAAAACCACTTACATCCCTACCCAACAATGGGTTGTCACGTATTGTACTTTTAGCAAGTATGATTGGTGCTCACCATGGTGCCCTGCTAAGCGATTGAGAGATTTTAACAGGATGATGTATCAAACCAAAATGGATCTTTTTAATCGAATGATATCGGAAACCAAATATAAGTTTTACCAAGATAACCTCAACAACTAAATAAGAGAAATACTTCAAGAGAATCATTCTCTTGACAAAGTAGATGAACATCAGTACAAATAAAACTTCATAAGTGTATTTCACTCACAAAAGCACTAAGTGAGTTGCCGTTTTACAGGTTGCTAAAGAAATAAACACTCTTCAATAGAACTCCACGAACGTTCATATAATTGAAAGAGGTTTTATTTACCACCACATATTTCATCTAAAATTGAGTTAGAAAGACTTTATTCTTCGACTTGGTTATTTTTGCTAGAGCAGACAACATCATCCTAATCTAAAAAACATGTTCTAACAAGAAGTGACATGTCCTTATCCCATAACAACATGGAAGGATTTGTAAAGAAAATGAATCCCACTCCTCTAAATATTAAAAGATAAAATATTCACTTGTCCACTAGTTGTTATTTTCAAAGAGAGGCCTTGATCAAAGCCCATGATGATTATAAATACTCCAATATTGCAACAACAATGAAATAAACATATACAATATAATAGTTTCTTACCCCAAGGACGAACCCATAAATTTTATAAAACTGGGGCAAAGTTCATTTGTAACACATAAAGTATTTTATATATAAATACATGTCTTGAAGTTCCTTTGTATACATATAAAGAAGGTTATTTTAACTATCCAAACGATAATAGAGACTGCATCCTTCCAATTTCTTCTTTACCTATAACCTTTATAAATCTTCATATATTAATACATATTTATATTGTTTAGTGAAACAAGTTGTAAGTGGGGGCAATGACTCACATAAATCATAAATTTAAGAATAGGTTTGTCCCTTTATCTCCATGTGAGGTAATTCTCAATCTCTCAACGACGTTAGTTTCTTATATAATCCCTAAAAAATTTCACTCATTCATACTTTTAACAAGTACAAGTTTTATTGGTAATAAATAAATAAATATCGTCAATAACTTGGTTTAGAAATGATCCAAAAATTGTCAAGCATTTCGTTTCATTTCCTTTGTAATTATTTGTTTATGAAATCTTACGTTTAAAAAAAATTACTAGTAATATAGAAATGGTACAAATCACTGAAATCATCAAACACATGTCATAAAACAATTAAGCATTAATATTTAGATCACAACAAAGTTACTCCTTCAAATTATTATTATAAATAAATATATTTTTTAAAATTTATTAAATAATTAATATATTTGATTTTTTATGTAAATTAGATATATTAATTATCTAATAAAGTTAAAAAGAAATTTTTTATTTATAATAATGGAGGGAGGGAGAACAATCCAATTATTTGTACCAAATCTTTATGCAACTTGCAAAAATCGCTCTTACTTTCTGCACTGTCGTTACTCATTCTCTCTTTACCTCCTTTATATTTCCACTTTTCTTGACCATTTTGCCCCTGCCATTATAAAAATTTTACCAAATCATCTTGTTGATAACTCTCGAGATTTTTCCAATTGCACGCAGAAGTTAGCTTTTCTAGGGTTTCGAAGTTCGCTGAAACTGGTTCAATAAAGTAAGGTGATGTATACTCTCTCTCTCTAGAATTTGAAATTGTTGTGATTCTTTGATTCGTTTCACTCTAAATTCGATTCGATTTGTTATGGTTTATTTCTTCAATTTGAGTTGTGTTTGTGTTAAATATAGTGTTTAATTTAATGAGGAAAAGTGATTTTGAGTTGATGTATGTTTAATTCATGGGGAATTTGTTGTGATCTATAATCTTGAGACTGTTTGATGTGGTTTGGGTTGGGAAAATATAGTTGAGCTTTTTCTTTTAAGTGGTTATGTAACTGATTTGTGGTTAAGTTTTGCTATTTATGGAAACTTTCAAAAATGTATTTTTTTTTTTGTGTGTTTTGTGGTAAATTGAATTGATTTCGGAATGAAATTGAGGTGTTTGGTTGATTTAAAGTAGAATTGATTCCGCCTTCAAAATTGATTCTATCTAGAATTGATTTTGCCTCCAAAATTGATTCTACTTATAGCATGTTTGGTTTGTGTATGTTTGGTTTCAATTCTAGCAAAGCTAAAAGCACTTCTAGAGTGCATAATTGATTCTGCAATGATTTTAACATGTTTGGTTCTGTTAAAGTAGAATTAATTCTGCCTTCAGAATTGATTCTACTTGAAGCTAGAATTTGTAACTTCTCCTTTAGAATTGATTTTGGGGTGATTTTTACACTAAAATTTATTGTTCAACTCACTTTTACATAAATGTATCCAAACATAAATCAATTCTGCTAAACTCATTTCTATTAAAATCAAATCTACCAAACTCAATTATGCTAGAATCAAATTTGTCCACTGCCAATTCAAACACACAGGTAGCTTTTGAGTTTAAATGTGATTTTTACGTTGTGTATGTTTGGTTTAGCTTATGGAAGAGGCAAAATTAATTCTAGAGGTGTAAAATTGATTTTGGAATGATTTTGAGATGTTTGATTCTTCTAAAGTAGAATTGATTCTACCTCCATAATTGATTCTAGTTGAAGTTAAAATTTGTAGCTTTTGAATTTAAACGTGTATTACACTAAAATTTGTTGTTCAACTCACATTTACATATATGTATTCGAACATAAATCACTTTACATTCAACTCACTTTTAAACAGAATCAATCATACAAAAGCAATTCGTTCAGAATCAATTATCGTCACTGCACAACCAAACATACATGTTGAAATAATACTGTTCAACTCAATTTTGCATAAAGTTGTACTAACATAAATCACTTTATATTCAATTTCACTTTTAATTCAAATCAATTTTATATAATCCATTCATTCAAAATCAATTATTTTCACCGCAAAACCAAACATATGCACTTGAGACATGTAACTAATTTGTTTTCAACTTATTTCTGTAAGTTCTCTTTTATTACATGTAAACATTTATATAATAAGCCTTTAGTTAAATTGTTTATCCAAATATTACATTTATGTATGATTTGAGTAATCTGTGAATGTTTGAACTCCTAGATGCATGAGTTTTGAAGACTTGGTATCTAATGGTATGTTGCTGAAAAAACATGTAATGAGTTGAAGCCAAATTGATTGGATTTTCTAACTTAATATTGTAAGAGACTGATTGGAAGCAAAATTTTAAAGACGTGAGCAAATAAAAAGAAACCTGTATGAAACTATACCAAACACGTATTTGGAGATTAATTGATTGTAACTAGTAAGCTCAAAGCAATTGAAGTAACATTAAACTGGAAATATGTAACATACTTTTGTAAGGGAAAATTTATTTTTCTTTTCTTGAACTTTCTCTTGGATACACTAGATTACTACTCTTTTAGTTGAATATTAAAATTTATTTGCTTATGAAAGTAAATATTTGTTTAGTTTAGTTTAGTATCGGTTGAATCAGTTATCTTGAATTTTTCTAATTACTATGAAGTAGTATTGTCCAATATCAGCCATGTAGGATTGCGGCGGTGGGTTTTTTGAACAACTTTCATGGCCAATTTGTGAAGAATGGCGGTGCCATATGGCAGATTTTTGGCTTTCCGCCATGCTCTACCATCAATAATACTGCTGTGAAGTATTTGTTTTAAAATATTCGGTTGTCAATTGCGTGAGTATCATGATGTTTGCCAACTAAGAGTTTTTATAAACTAATGTTTTTTTCTTTTAGTTTTGCTAGGTGAAGAAAATGATTATCACTAAACAGTACCGATGCATACATTCAGCTAGCTGTCAATGCTCTAAAGGTCATTTAAGTGAAGATGCGATTTTCTTAGTGTTTCATAATTTAAAATGGAATCCAAAGCTGATTGCTACTCTGTCATGTGTATGCAAATGGTTTGATGATCTTGCCAAGCGAGTTCTATGGAAAGAGTTTTGTGGAACAAGAGCTCCAAAGATGTTGTGTGATCTGCAATCTACTGGGAGCCATGTTGTTGATGGGAACTGGAGAGCTTTAGGGAAGCTTCTTACATACTGTTCGGGATGCACAAAAGGTGGCTTGTTCAAAACCATTCAGAACCAGATTCCCGGTCACTTTGTATACCAGACTCGATTTTCTAGAACATCGGGGAAGAGCTTTCTTTTGCCACAATGCAGAACGGATGTTTTGTACGTATCTGATCCTTGTGAGCATCTTGATCAAGGTGAAGAAGAAGATTTAGGATTCTTCCGCGGAGTTTTTAAGTCGTTTGCAACGTCAAAGGTCCGAAAGATGCTTATTAGTAAAGGTGTTAAGCTCCACCAAACAGAAGTTTGCCCTTATTGTAAAGCGAAGCTTTGGAGTATGCAGCAAGCGAAAATGATTCCTCAAAGTGCTAGTTGCAGGCTTGGTTCTTATGAAGATGGTATTGAATATTATGTGTGTCTCAACGGTCACATGATCGGGATATGTACCCTATTACCATTGTCTGATTCAGAAGAAGCACCTGAGTTGGAAGGAGTAACAGTTCAATGATTTTCAGGTATTTTAGTGTACCGGAAAAACCATAACTTTCTCTTGTGTTTATGTTTCCCCACTTTCAATGATTTAATCACACTTGTGTACTAAATGTTTCTGCAGCTGTCATCATTCTTTCTGAATCTGCTAAATTCCAGATCAAGATTATTTAGAAGAAACGCGAAGAATGCAAAAGGTACCATTTGGAGTGGTTCATGATGTGCTATCACATGTAGAAAAAAGTGGTTGTAAAATTCTTCAGATGCATTTCACTTGTGCAGGTGAAGAATACTCTAGTCTAGGTGACTACTGACTAGAGTGTAGCATGATCCTTTATCTATCAGAATGTAAGAACAAACTCATGTAAAACAAATTTTAGCACGGTAATTATTTCCTAAGGCTGTGTTTGGAAGTTTTAGGAGGAGAGGTTAAGGCTTTGAAAAAAGAGTAGTGAAAGTAAAATGAAGGAAGCATAATCTATCAACTTGAATGAGGTAATTCATTTGGTTTTCATAATGCAGTGTCTCTAATATGAGGGGAACTCAAAATGAATTGGAGAAAGATTTTAGAAGGCTTAAATAAATTATTCAAAGCCTTTCAATATTTTTATAATAGTCAATTAAAAATTTAGTAATCATAAGTTTTTTATTCTCAATCTCTTAAAAAATCGTAAATAAATTGCAATTTCTCTCTCTTTTCTTCCCCCCAAAACCCTCTCATTTACTCCTTTCAAACAATCAAATATAATATAAGTGAGGTACTCATGTTTAATGATCTAAATGACATTAAACCTGTGAAAATTTTTCTTTTTGTGAATTCTTGATGCCTTATGTACAATATTTACATATAGTCAACCTAATCACCGTTTAAAAATTAATCCTTTCTTTGATTTCAGTTGTGAAGTTGAAAGTTTTAGTGACATAAATTTTTTTTAAAAAATATTGATGCGTGAAAAGAAAGAAGAATGACAGCCATAATAATGTCATTCAACAAAATATCAAAGTAAAAACAAAAATTGTATTTATATAATTCAATCAAACTATTTACTTTAAAGAAGAGAAACAAGCTACTACTCCGATTTAACCTAATTTATAAGTAAAAAAATATATTTTACATTTATTAAGAAAGACAATTGAATTTATTTATTTTTCTTGATTTCATGTAAGAGATAATATAATTACTAGTATATCCTCAATTAAATTGTCATTCACTAACAAGAATTTTTTTTTGGAATAACTAGATATTAAAATAAAAAATCGCAAATAACCATGTTTCAGAAAACTCTCAAAGGGAGGAGTCATCTCACTTGGCGCCTCCTCTCTCTTTTAGCCAAGTGAGATGGCGCATGCACTTTAAAAGTGAAAGGAGGCGCCATCTCACTTGGCTCCTAGGGCAAAGTGTTGTTTTTATAAATAATTTGTCCGTTTCTCCGTCATTCCTCACACTTTCTCGCACTGTTCTCTTATTTTTTTACTCTGTTATTTGCGTCATGACATCGCCCATGATTTTTACCAGAGATGGTTACATTATTTTCTCTGCCACAAAACCTCCGATGAAAATGAAATTCTGGTACATTCACTCCATGGAACGTCTGAAGACGAACAACAACCTCACTTGCGACAGAAAGACCTAATTTTTGGTTGGAGGAAGTCAAAACAGACAGCGACGTAATATTGATGATGCATGAGTCAGATGAAATTGTTTTAACGGTTGTAATTTCGTAGACGGTTTATCGTGTTTTTTTCTTGTTCGCGCAATGTTTATTGTAACAAATACTGTTAACGAAAAACCCTAATGTTTACATAAAGGAAAGATTTTTTGTAATACAATTTTTATGTGGTTGAGGCAGTAGCCCGATTCGGACAATTTTTACGATTGTGTCCGACCTGACGACATAAACCACACTTTCTTTCCAGTTTGTCAAAGGAGTCCATATCGGTTGTGATGCGCTTACTTTTGGGACGACCCTTTTTATTCCTTCGCATTTGGTCATTGTGCCATACTATTTCGCTGTCGTATGCAGGCCAATAATCTGGTTTTGCTACCAAAGGGAAGTTGTTGTTGTAAACGTTGAGCAACGTTTCAGATTTGTAAATGGGAGACAGAAGTTGTAGCGCGTCTTGATGAGTATAGGCACACGCGGCAATGACATGAGAGCAAGGCATACGAAAGGCTTGAAACTTGCCACAATCGCACCAACGAGAAGGTAGTACAACCCTATATTCTTGTCTTGGTAGGTCCTTGTTGTGGTCGATTGTCTCTTTGACAATGAAGTTGTGGCTGTGTCGGTCAAACCGTATAACCATATGGGTGTTGGCTTTGGCACTTTCTGCCTTAATGTACTTCATGCAACTTTCACTCCATAGTTGTCCAGATTGCAACACAGCATTCCACATTTCACCTCTTTTGGAAAACAACGAAGCCATCCTAAAATATGTTAATTTAACCAAAGCAGTGACCGAGAGGTTTCGTATGCCTTTGAATACCCAATTCATATATTCAATTAGATTTGTTATCATGTGACCCCATCTTTGTCCATTGTCGTATGACCTAGTCCATTTTTCTACTAGAATATTATCGATCCACCTACCGGCTTCCGGATTTGACAAACGGATCTCGTTGCGATAATATTTGAACATAGGTTGTGTCAATACATATCCCGCATTCATAACCGCTTTCCTAAGTGTTTTGTCTTTGATCTCCCTCGTGAAATTTTGGATGATATGTCTAACGTAATAGACATGCGTAGAAGGAGGGTCATGCCAACCATTTGCAGGATTATTGTATGCACTTTCAATGGATGCATGTCTATCAGGGATCAAACAGAGATCTGGTTGAGGAGCCACGTGTGTTCGCAGATTTTTGAGAAAAAAGCTCCAAGCACCACCAGTCTCCCCCTCGACTAGGGCAAAGGCAATTGGGAAAATGTTGTTGTTGCCATCTTGTGCAACTGCCATCAGTAGCGTGCCTTTGTATTTCCCATACAACCAAGTCCCATCAATTTGTATAATTGGTTTGCATGATACAAACCCTGTGATGCAAGGTTGAAAAGCCCAAAACACTCGACTAAATATTCCATTTCCATTGAGTTGACTACCATCCGGGGCGTATGCTGACACTGTTTCCAGAATGTAAACAGTACCCGGAGAATAAGTCTGGAGTGCATTCAGGTAGCGAGGAAGTTCTTGGTATGACTCCTCCCAGTTTCCATATACTTTTTCAATCGCCTTGGTCTTTGCTAACCACACCTTTCGGTAAGACGGAGTATAGTTAAATACCGCAGTGATGTGAGAGATTATGGTTTTCACCTTCAATGATGGATCATTGCTGACGAGTGGTAGGATTTCTTGACAAATGAGATCATAATTAAGTTTTCGATGATCCTGTGATTGAGTAGAACTGACACAAGTGTGGGTAGACATGGAACCTATGACCCAACAATCACCTCTTAATCTGTATGATGCAGTGAGCTTGAACATACAATCAGGATGAACACACTTGATCTTGTATCTTTTTGGATTTACGCGGTCCACCTTAAAATCGACCGAGTTAAGCATGTAAAATTTTTTGATGGCTCTGATACATTCTTCTCTGTTACGAAATTTGTCTTTCTCTTTTAAGTTTTCATCCGACTGCATATACGGATTGAAAAATAAATCAGAAGACGATTCAATCCGCCCATGTTGAAGTTTGTCATGTGCGGAGGTGGTGTGTAGATCTCGTTTGCAGGAATACCAGGTATCCCATCGTCTTCGGAATCATCATTGACCATTTCGTCAAACTCCAACTCGTCATCTTCTTCTTCTTCATCAACTGCATCTACTTCTGCTTGTTCGGTCTCCAAAGGATCAACCACTTGTGACAGCTGAGGCTTTCGCAGCATAATGTACAACTCAATAGAGTCGTATCCAGAATACTCATGACTGGAAAACATATTCTGAAGATCCTCGTCATCTTAAACCTCAACCTTATAAAATATTATTTGGTTGTTAAAAAAAATTGGATTCTGATAAAATATTTGTGTCACGGGGCCTCGTCCAAGTTTGGCCTCCAATCGTTTTTTGAAGTACAAGAAATTGGCTTTCCTGTTTAAACAAAATCAGATGTTCTCAGTGTCTCTAAACAAAAACCCAGAGGTGGGACAAATATATGTCTCACCGTTGAAATATGAACTGATCACATATTGGGGTGCAAAGGCCATTATGTATGATTGTTTGAAGGTTCGAAGGTTTGAAGTTTATGAGTTAATTGCTAGAATTTTTGAATGTTCTAGTGTTTGAGAGATTACGTGTATGAGTGTTTTTATAAATGTAAGATTAAATAGGTTGTACTGAATTTGAATTAACCAATATGCATCCAGAGATGCCTTCTCCAAGGCTGCCACCTAGCCTGCGCCTACACTGCAACCTCTAAGGCGCCTCCCATCACGTCCAATAATGTTGCATGCATTCAGAGATGCCTTCTTCAAGGCTGTCACCTAGCCTGCGCCTACACTGCAACCCATGCCACCTCTTATTCGCCAACAGGGATGGCGACACCTTTCATTTGTATACTCTTTCGCCAAGTCCAATGATGCCTCCCTTCATGTCCAATCGTGTTACATGCATGCCAGGGATGCCTTCTCCAAGGATGCCACGTAGCCTGCACCTACACTGCAGGAGTGACACTTATCATGCATGCATGCACCCACCTACCACCTCACTTACTCTATGAAATTTTTTTGCCTATAAATACAGAGCATTACACACTTCTCTCACATCCACAATTGTCTCACTCTCTGTTACAAACTCTTTCATAATCTCTTACAATTTCAAACTCTTTCATAATCTCAGGCATTTTCAACAATGACTCTTCTCACAATGGCCGATTCTCACAGAGGCATAAGGGACAACATTGCAGCATTTGTAAGTATCTTTTATACTTATACATTTTTCATACTTCTAGTAATGCTTTGTTCATCTTACTTACCTACTCTTACACATTTTACATTATTAACTTAGGATACTAAAAGATTCAGAATCCGGTCACACAACTACCTTGCTCCTGACCCGTTGATCGTACCGTATCTCGATTACGCAGGTTTCAGAAATGTTATAAAGATCTCCAACTGCACAATTGATTCAAAGTTCATACTTGCATTATTGGAAAGGTGGAGACCATAGACCCATACATTTCATCTACCAATAAGTGAATGTACTGTCACACTAGAGGACGTGTACATGTTATTGGGTCTTCTTGTCGACGGTAAGGCGGTTAACGGGTCGGTTCAACAACCCAATTCTCTATGTGAAGAATTGTTGGACAGGGATATGG